CTGGGCACCTATGACTAGCAATCTCCCACTTGACCTAAAGTCAATCACCTATGTGTCTGATCACCATCAGACCCCTGTGACGCTCAAAGATAATCTGAGACAACGGCTTTGTCAGTGGATCTGCAATGTTATCTTCGGATGGAACTCTTTCCACTGCTACATCTCCTCGGGTTACGATCTCTCTGATAAGTTGGAACCTCCTCAGAACACTTCTGAGGAGACCTGGGTTCCCTTATTTGAGTAATCGCCCCATAGTTGTCGCAATATAAAGAAGTCGGCTCCTCGCTACCCGGCACGACTCCCAAATCTGTAATGAACTTCTTCAACCAGACTCCCTCCTTTGCTGCATCTGATGCAGCAATGTACTCCGCCTCTATGGTCGAGTCAGCAGTGGTATCTTGCTTGGAACTCTTCCAGCACACTGCTCCTCCATTCAAGGTGTACACATACCCAGAATTCGACTTGCTATCATCGACATCAGACTGAAAACTTGAGTCAATGTAGCCTTCAACCTTAAGGCTATTACCTCCATATACTAGTAAAAGATCCTTAGTCCTTCTCAAGTACTTAAGGATACACTTTACTGCTTTCCAGTGCTCCAAGCCTGGATCCGCCTGATACCTGCTCGTGACACTCAGAGCATGCGCTATATCAGGCCTAGTACATAGCATGGCATACATGATAGACCCTATTGCTAAGGCATAAGGTATCATATTCATGTTTGCCCTTTCTTCTGGAGTCTTTGGGGACATACTCGTAGAAAGCGATATCCCATGTCTCATCGGTATGAGACCTCTCTTGGAATTTTCCATGCCAAACCTTTTGACAATGGTTTCTATGTACTTGGACTGGGACAAGCCAAGCATCCTCTTGGATCTATCTCTATATATTCTAATCCCCAAGATATAGGATGCTTCCCCTAAGTCCTTCATGGAGAAGTGTCTAGATAACCAAGCCTTTACTGTGGATAACATTCCTACGTCATTCCCAATGATCAGGATGTCATCCACATATAACACCAAAAAGGTGATAGTACTCCCACTTACCTTCCTGTACATACAAGGCTCATCTTCGTTCTTAACGAAGTCATAAGATCTGATTGCCTCATCAAATCTTATGTTCCAACTTCGGGAAGCTTTCTTTAGTCCATAAATGGATCTAAGCAACCTACACACCTTATCTGGGCAGGTCTTGGACACGAATCCCTCAGGTTGTATCATATACACCTCCTCCTCGAGGTTCCCATTGAGGAATGCGGTTTTCACATCCATCTGCCAGATCTCATAATCATAGTGTGCTGCAATAGCCAATAGAATTCTGATGGATTTTAGCATTACTACGGGTGAGAAGGTTTCGTCGTAGTCAACACCTTGCCTTTGACGATACCCCTTAGCCACTAGCCTTGCTTTATAGGTCTCTACCTTTCCATCTACTCCGATCTTTTTCTTAAAGATCCACTTGCAACCGATGGGTACAATACCTTCGGGCGTATCAACTAGGTTCCAAACCTTATTGGAGTACATAGAATCAATCTCAGAATTCATGGCTTCTTGCCACTTCCCGGAGTATATACTCATAATAGCCTCCTCGTAGTCTGAGGATCAATATCCTCAACATCCTCTCCTCTAATATGTCCCACATATCTATCAGGAGGATGGGATACTCTATCAGACCTGCGTAAAGTTGAAACTTGTGTATTAGGTACCTGAACAGACTCGGGCTGTAGAGTGGTGCTTGAGCTTGGTTCTCCAACCTCGCTAACTCTATCATTCTCCCACTATCTCCGCCAAGAATATGTTCCTTCTCAAGGAACACTGCTCTCTTAGCTACAAAGATCTTTTGGTCCTCGAGATGATAGAAATAATACCCACAAGTTTCCTTGGGGTATCCCACAAATTTGCATCGTTCTGTCCTTGATTCTAACTTATCGGGGTTGTGTCTTTTAACGTGGGCAGGGCAGCCCTAAATCTTAACAGCCTTAAGATCAGGCTTCTTCTCTTTTCATATCTCATATGGTATAGACACTACCGACTTAGTTGGAACTCTGTTCAGAAGGTAAGCTGCGGTTTCTAGGGCATATCCCCAGAATGAGATGGGTAGGTCAGCGAAACTCATCATGGACCGTACCATATCTAATAACGTACGATTTCTCCTTTCAGAGACACCATTGAGCTGAGGTGTATAAGGAGGTGTCCATTGGGATAATATCCCATGGTCCTTGAGGAACTGAGTAAACTCTGTACTTAAGTACTCACCTCCTCGATCTGATCGAAGAGTTTTGATACTCTTTCCAGTTTGGTTATCCACCTCATTCTTATACTCTTTGAATTTCTCAAAAGCCTCGGACTTGTACTTCATTAAGTACACATGTCCATACCTTGAGAAATCATCAGTAAAGGTAATGAAGTAGGAGTAACCACCAATGGCATGAGTTGACATGGGTCCACATACATCACTATGTATGAGTTCCAACAGCTCAGTGGCTCTCTCTCCAGTTCCACTAAATGGAGAGTTGGTCAGTTTTCCACGAAGGCAAGGCTCGCAAGTTGCATATGACACATAGTCGAATGGATCTAGATATCCATCATTTAGCAACTTTTGAATCCTTCTTTCATGGATGTGACCTAGCCTACAATGCCACAGGTATGTACTGTTCATCTCATCTCGTTTCCTTTTGGACACATTTACATTCATGATATGTAGAGTATTCGTCCTTTCTGTAAGATACTCTTTGCAGTTCCTCTTCCAGTGCCCATCTATACCACAGTGGAAGCACTGGCCTTTGTCCTTTTCTGGGTCTTTCTTAGCAACCTTTGCTTTACCTGGTCTGTCCTTGCCGTTTCCCTTCTTAAGGGGCCTTTCTCCTTTCCTTTTCTTTTTGGTCTCACTAGTGTAGAGAACTGGCTTCTCTTTCTTAATAGTACTCTCTGCCTCCCTCAACATATTGAGGAGCTATGGGAGAGTCACCTCAAGCTTGTTCATATTAAAATTCATTATGAACTATGAAAAGGAATCTAGTAGGGACTGAAGTACAATGTCCACACACAAGTTATCCTCTAGGACCATTCCTAGACCTATGAGTTTCTCTATCCACTCAATCATCCTTTAGGACATGGTTCTGAACCGGTGTCCCCTCAGTCATCCTAGTGCGGAAGAGGCTCTTGGATATCTCATATCGCTGAGTCCTTCCCTGTTCCTCAAACAATTTGCGGACATGTAGGAGAATGGATCTGGCATCCATCTTTGCATGTTGTCTCTGTAACTCAGGA